AAGCATTAGTTACAGTGTTGACCTCACCCCTAGCCCAGAGCCTTGACCCACTCACTTTCCAGCTCTACCCTCCACCAGGATAACCCTTCACATCTGCCAAGTCCCTTCAGAAAATATCTTCCATTGTTCAACCCATGATCTGACAGCTTGTATCTTAAGCTAGCCAAGGAAAACACGTACCAGAATGGAAGAGAGGGGCAACAACTTACGTGATCAAGGGCTAGTCTATGAACCTTGAATGGCTATTAAAACTGTCCCCTACATTAATATGCTGCATGTCGGGAACTTGGAAAGAATCATGAAAAAGCATTGATAATAAACTATTTACTAAGACAAAATTACTTAAAAAGGTTTAAAGACTATTTGAACCTGTACTTCAAAAGGCAGCAGAGAAGCAATACAAATGCTGAAGCTGGCAGGAAATCATCTCTCATATCTGCATATTTACAAATCAGAAGGTAGTTATTGACCTTAATACATTTGAAATGCAGATGATGTAGAAACTATGCCCAAAAGATGCCCTAGTGCTCATCTGCAAGGAGTTAAAAAATGTTAAAGAATCAAGGTTTCCAAATATTTTATGGAAATGTTTAGGGTTATACAAAAGTGTAATCTTCCCTTGGTTATGCTGGACACGAGAATAAAGATTTTAAAATCACCTTTTGGGACATGGAAATTGAGGGACATCTGCATGACATCTCATTTATTGAGAAGTGATTAAAGCACATGGTTGCTAGCTGAAAGGCGGATAGTTTGAACTCCATTATTACTACTCAGCCTGTAAAGGTTTAGTCTTAGAAATTCCATGGGCAATTCTATTCTGTCCTCTAAGGTTTCTGGAAGTTAATCACCATGAAAGCTACAAGGTGGTTTGGTTTTTTTATTTTCTTCCCCACTGCCTGCTTGAAGCCTTTAGATACTAAGTGTCAAGCAAAACTTTCTTTTGGTAGTCCACTTCTTCCTTACAATAACTATAGTACTGAGACATTTTGTAAGGGAAAAAAGGGTGTCAGAAAAGAACTGGATTGGCAAGACAGGTTTCATCCTTCATGCCAGTATTAACTGACTGGCCTGGTAAAGAGCCAGAAAAATGCAGAATGCAGAAGACTAGGTAGGAATAGCAGAGATGATCTCTATTTACAAGTCCTGCAATACGTGGCTTATAAAATCCTTGTTTATTTTTTAATTTTTTGATCCAATAATTTAAATTATGAGAGGCTGGGCTCTATGAGGAGAAATGTGGCATCAG